CCTGTCAGAAGTTTTTCAAACTAATTTTATGTCTTTTGTCTCTATTGCTCATGGATATCACCAGCACCCAGAAGGAAAACAGAAAGCTAAACTCTGGCTGAACTCCTGCTGGGAAGCTAATAGGATTAAAGATTCAGAGCTGGAAGGGACAGCAGAGGTCACCTAGTCAGTCCAACCCCCTCATTTTACTGAAGATGAAACCAAACCATGGAGGAGTGAAGTGACCTAATAGAGGGCATATGGGTATTAAGTAACAGTTGGGCTTTGAACCCAAATCCCCTGACCTCAAATCCAGCTCACCCACAGTACCACCTTTATATAAGAAGCTTGGGTCTTTGAATTAATTTTTTTCCCTAGAGAGATAGAAGGGATGATACCAGGAATAAAAGTCCTGGAGGGCATCATTGCCAAATTACCAATGTTTTGTGGTGGTAGTTCTATTGTTTTTAGTTTGGCTAGATCTTTACTAGCTTATTTATAGTACAACCCTAGGAGAGGTTTCTTGTTAATTCTCTGTGGCTCATTTTACCTATGGCTAGAGCCCTTTCTCCACCTCCTTGAGGCGGGAAAACTTTTTCTTGTTCCTCTGGAAAATGCCAACACAATTTGCTAGGACTTTAAATTTTGGTATTCTTTATGCTAAGATCAAGGTTTATACTCAAAGTGGAGGATTAATTTGGTAATTTCCAACTTGTGTCTGATAACTACCTGCTTGTATGGCTTCTATCTGCAATGTCACAATTGGGGGAGCAGCTTCTTTTAGCTTAGCGCAACTCATGGTGTTTGGCTTATGGGCATTATGGGGATGTTTTAGACAGCAGTCTCTCTGCCACCCTTGACCTCGGTCTTTTTGCTACGTAGCTTTTTTTTTTTTTAGCTATGCAGTGGGGGATAATTGACTTGCCCAGGGTCACACAGCAAGTAAGTGTTATGTGTCTGAGACCGGATATGAACTCAGGTCCTCCTGACTCCAGGGCCTGTGCTCTATCCACTGCATCACCTAGCTGCCCCACTACATAGCTTTTTATCTTTGTTGGTGATCAAGATTACATAAGGCAAACTATGCTGACTGAATCCACTGCAAATTTATGTTATTTAATTTCAACTGGGTCTTCACTAGGGAAAGGCAATCCTTTTATACCTCTTTAATTGGTTCACTATCCCATTCACCACATCAGTTTTTCCAAACCTTTTTGTTCTTCTTCAAACCTCCCGTAATTCCCTCTCCACACACTCTCTCAGCTGAGAACTTTGCCTCATATTTCACTGAAAGAATTGCAGAGAACTCTCTCTTCTCCCCTGTTCTTCGTCCCACAGCATTCACACGCCTTCTGTCACTATCTCTTTCACCCTTACCAATATATGCACAAGTGAGATCCCAATCTTTTCTAGCAGATTACCCTGTCTTTCATTTTTACTCTCTCACTAATTTCCAATCTCTCCCTGTATTCTGGCTTCTGTTTCCTTACTGTCTACACATGTACCCATGCCTCCACCATCTTAAAAAATTCCTTACTTGAAACATCCATTTCCCAAAAACTTTCATTGCACATTTCTCAACTCTCTTTCATGGTTAAACTCCTTGAGAAAGCTATCTACAATACGTGCTTCCATTTTCTTTCCTCTCACTCTCTCTTCTTTGCAGTTTGGGTTCTGGCTTGAGGAGAAACTGATCCCTCCAAAGTCACTAATAATTGCTTAATTGCCAAATCTAATGGTTTTTTCTTGGTCCTCACACTTCTTGACCTCTCTGCAGTCTTTGACCTTTTTGTCTTTTTCTATAGGTTTTCATGGCAGCGTTCTTTGTTCATTCTCCTTCTGCCTCTCTGACTTCTTCCCTGTCTCCTTTGCTGGATCTTTATAGAACTCACTCCAACTAACTGTTCAAGTCACTGGAGGCTCTGCTCTTCTCTTCTTCATTCATACGATTTCACTTTGTGGTCTCCTCAGCTACCATGGATTTAATTACAATCTTTATGCAGATATGTCTAAGATCTACTTGTTCAGCCTTCTTAACCTCTCTCCCAAGAGACTCTCTCCAGTTTCATATTTCCAACTGCCTAATAACTTCTCAAACTGGATGTTCCATAGACATTAATTTCAACATGTCTGAAACTGAACTCATTATCTTTCCCCCAAAATGCTTTCTTCTTCTTAACTTCCCTATTCCTTCTGAAAATACCACCATTTTCTTAGTTATCAAGCTTACAACCTTGGAACCTAGGTGTCATTCTTAACTCCTCACTCTACCCCTGCTCTACACCGTATACAACAAGATATCAATTCCCTTCATCTCTACCTTGTAATATTTTGTATGTGATTCTTTATTCTCTTAATGCCACCATCCTGGTACAGGCCTTCCTCACATCCTGATGCAGGATACGATGGAGATGATGTTCTTTTTCTCAAGAATGTGTACACTGGCAACAGAATCACAATGGCCTGCTGGTTGTAGGGTCTTCCTACTTCAAGTCGTAGTTCAATACAGCTTCCACTTACCTGCCAAAGTGATCTTTCTAAAGTACAGATCTGACCATCTGACCATTTGATAAATTCTAGTGTTTCCCTATTATCCCTAGGATAAAATAAAAAGTCCTCTGTTTGGTTTTTAAAGCTTCCCATAGTCTGGCCCTTCCTACCTTTCCAGTCTCCTTACACCTTACTTGTCTCTATGTATTCTGAGATCCAATGATACTGGCCTTATGGTTTCTCAAGGACATTCCGTCTCCAAATTCTGAGCATTTCCACTAACTGTCTCCCATTCCTGGAACTCTCTTTCTCTCTTTCTCCTCACATTCTGGCTTCCCTGGCTTTCTTTGTATCTCAGTTAAAGTCCCACCTGCTGCCTGAAACTTCTTCTAGTCTTCCTTAACTTTAATGTCTTCCTTCTGAGACTACCTCCAATTTATCCTGCACGTATCTTCTTTATACACAGTTTTCATGTTGTATCCCCCCATTAGACTGGGAACCCCTTGAGAACATGAACTGTTTTTGCCTTTCTTTGTATTCCCAGCACCTAACAGAGTGACTGGCACATAGTAGGTATTTAATAAATGCTAGTTGATTGATTAATTGATGGAAAACTTTAGGTCCACTATACAGAATGCTTGAAGACATGATTTCCTAAAGAGTGTGTTGGGATACTTCAGCACTTCAGAAAATTTGTCAGTTCTGTGAACCAACCCATCCTTGGTATTTCTTGACATTCTAGGTATTGCCCAGTAGAACTCTGGCTACATGTTGTGTGGAGAGAGTATGATTTTACCTAAATACACCAATCACTATGTCTCACTTCTCTTGGTTCTTTTCCTTATTAAGCCTCTGTCTGGGCTCAAAAGCAATCTGGTATATCTCATAGTATCTGAGAGGTTAGTAGAATTACAGATATTCTCCTTTTAATTGACTCATGCCCACCTCAGCCTGAGCTGAGTAAAAACCTCCTTTTGGGTTAATTTGCTTTTCATTTCCAAACCCTGTACTTGTTGGTTTGTGCTAAAATCGTTGTAAATGGTCATAAACATTAATAGCAATTTTAAATAGCAAAGGACCACAAATAATCATTTAAGAAAGAGGCTTTCACTCATTGAGCACCATGGGGGAGGTGAAGCATTAAATCTCACCCCTTCTCCCGCCAGTCAGAGGGGGAATGGGAGGTAAAGGGTTTGGACTCAGATAAAGGGAAAGTGGGATTTTTTGGAGGCAATACTTCAGAGGAGCAGGAGGAAGACTGGTCCTGTCAAATGAGTCTAGGGGTTTCATCAACCTTGGTGTATTATCAATCTACTTGTGTCTCTTCTAACCTTTCTGCATGATCTGTCACAAGCTGGAGTCTTAGCTCTATTTGCTTTCTCTGCTTTCTGTCACTAGGACAGTTTACTCACCCATCTATTTCCTGAAAACTTGAAAGGAGAAGGATGGGGGACCATCACAACTCTTGGTACTGCTCCCTTTCCATCTCTCCACTTGGCTCCTCTCTGGGAAGGAAGTTCTTTCAGAGTTCAAAGTCCCCTGGAAATTTGGGGAACTCTGGGCAAAGTGCCTGCATGAATACATACACGTACTTCCTTCAACTTACCATATCTTCATGGAAACATCCTGGGGGAGAAGTTACACAAGTTTCCTGACTCTTCTACAAATAATGAATAAAAATGTGTCTGGCTACAAATACTGACTGATTAGAGAGGGGCGAGAGACTGTGGAACTTCTCATACCATATAATGGTTTGTATAGGTATATAGAGGGGTGGAAGAGGCAAAAGTAATCTTCTGTAATATCTTTATCCTCAAACACACATGTAATATTAATTTACATTTCTTTAGCACTTAAAATTTAACAACAACTGTGTGACTTAGAAATTATCATCCCCATTTTGCTGATACGGAAGCTGATACCAAGAAAGGTTAAATGACTTTTCCAGGATCATAATTAGTGAGTATTAGATCCAGAATTTAAATATGGGTCATCAGACTCCATGACCAGGGTTCTTACCACTATATTGCACTGCCTTTCTCTACACTCACAAAAGCATCTCTCCTGTGGCTGTGGAAGCTTAATCAGGATTGACAAATAGCTTCTTTGACTTTCTGATCTGGTCAAAGTATACCTTCTTCTCCCAGTCTTTCAGAAGATTCAGAAATCCTTTTTCTGGGACTAAGTTCCTTGGTGTTTCCCTTGAAAAATTGCAAAGTTTCCTTTACACCTTCAATAGAACCTCCTGGTATTTGAACTGAAATGTTTACATATATTCAAGTATCTTGACCCAGAAAGGCAATAGTGGAAAATCAGTTAGTGTCAGGAGTGTAGTTGGGAAGGGAATGTAGACTTCTAGTTCATCTTCTGTTCTAATCACTATGCTGGGTCTGTATTCTGGACCAAGATATTCTTCTTGGAACAGTGGTGGGCAGTGCTCTCTTATCACAGTATTCCTGTCTAGGGGTGTGGCACTGTGGGCAAAGGGGCTGGCTTTTCTTTACTGATATCTTGTCATTTGGATTTTTCAGAACCAGAGGCAGGAGAGGTATCCCCCCCTGTAGGAGCTGGTGTCAACAGCAACAGCTGGACCTTTAAATACGGACCTGGCAACCCCAAGCAACCTGGCCCTGGTGAGTTGCCAGACAAATTCATTATTCCGGGATCTCCTGCAATCATCTCCATCCGGCAGGAGCCACCCAACAGCCAAATTGACAAAAGTGACTTCATAACCTTTGGGAAAAAGGAGGAGACCAAGAAGAAGAAGAAAAAGAAGAAGGGCAACAAGACCCAAGAGAAAAAAGAGAAAGGGAACAGCACCACTGACAACAGTGACCAGTGAGGGATTCAATGGAACAAAGCCACTTAGCCAGTTTTGTAATAATGGCAGATCTCTCTTATGTAGCAACTCCTGACTCTTTCCTCCTGTCCACACCAGTCCTATCTGTACAGATCTCAGAAATCAGCAGAAAGTTCCCAGTGTCTGTCTAGATCACATATAACAGGTTTTGTCTTAAAAGCTTTACTCAGTCTGATGTTAACTCTTTCTCTCCACTCTGGCTTGTTTTCAGAATCTAAAAAGCAGACCCAAGTTTCCTTTCTCCTCCGCCGCAAAGGAGAGGCCTCCCAGCCCCACCCGTGAGAGGTTGGACTCTTAGCCTTGTGCTCCTGGAATCCTGTCTTGATGGCACTAACAGGGCAGGCTGAAAGGTTTTCAGATTGGGCAGCTGGGCCTTACTTTTGATGTGTGCCTGTGCATGTGGGGGGTGGGGGTGGGCGTGGAGGTATTCGGGCGTGTATGTGTACAGAAGTCAACAAAAGAAGGCAAAATTAGGTTACTTAGTGCAAGAAGAGGGTAGAAATGTGAAGAAACAAAACAAATGAGTAGTTCTGAACTTTTTAGGCCGAGGAGGAAACCTGAGAAAGGAAGTGACTAGATTTTCCAAACTTAGTGTGGGATAGGTAAGGAATCTTTAATGACAGGAGGTGGTACCCATTCTCTAGACAAACCTGTATTCTGCCCCTCTGACCATTAGCCTATTTATACAATATTAGGGGTCCTGGAAAAAAATTGGCTACGTTGTCTTTCTAAAACCTTCATTATGTTAGAAAAACAATTCCTGACTCTAAATCGAGGCTGGTCAGGTGGACATATTGGAAAGTGAGTGGCATGGATGCTGTTTCCTGTATGTCCTTGTACTCACTCTGTTAAACATTCTTTTGCACACAATGTCTCTGAAAAGGCCAGATCCTTTTCCCATAATACATATGCAAAAGGGAAAGAAAAACCCCCAACACCTCACTTTATCTATGCTCTTTGTTATTTGATAGATTTATTTAAAAATGAAAGTATAGATGTAAATGTTGAAAACAAATATGATAAATATGATTCCCCTTTACCCCCAAAAGAGAATTAAATCTACAGCCATTAGAAACAATCATTGCTGCTACTGAAGTGCTTTAGAGAAATTGCCTGAAACATCTGTATTATATCGGCCACCTGCCAATCACAGCTTTACTCTATCAGGTCACTCTGGGACTGCCTCTTGCATGTATTCGTTACTAAACCCAAGGATCCCCATCCTTTAAAAAATGTTTTTTATGTGCACTTTGATTACACAATCTTCTTCAATCAACTGTCCTAAGACTCAGAAATGAAAGATAGTTGTTGTTTTCTCAGACATTCAGAACACACTTAACAGATCCTGTAATTCTGTGAATTGTCTTGGTGCGCTAACTTAAAAACTCCCCTTTGGTTTTGTTTCCCTTTTTTCTATGACACTCTGAATTGCTGCCCTTACTACTACTCATGATGTAAAATCCAACTACTGTATGTATGCTGTATGCTCTTATAAAAATCCTGAAATATACTTACTCTGTGCTTGTGTATGTGAATGTCAATGCAACTATTACCTAGAGTGAACTTTAAGCTTTGTTGTTGAATGTAACTCCATTACATTTCTTTTTTGTACACCTGTGAAAAAAGTGGAATAGTGTTCAATTTTTTTTGGAAAAAAAAACCACCACTGTTAATCAGCTTTTGTGTATGAAAGACACAGTAAAATATCTTTCTTAAATCGAGATACTGGTGATTCAAAGAATTTTATTTGTGGTCAACCAAAAGCGCTTCCCTGTCTTTTGCCAAGAGTCCAGCTGTTGAGGGATTGGATGAAACTGCTTTTTAAAAGTAACCTTGCTGGAAGGTATTCAGAAGATAATTCCCTGTGGGTGTGTGAGCACACTACCAAACAGCTTGTGACCTCCATGAATACTGAATTTTTAAGGCTCTCATAAAGAATATTCAAAGTTAATGTCATTCCAGTCAGAACATTTTAAGTTTGTTGAAATGTGCAAATTAGATGCTTAATCAATTATTTTTGCTGTAGAACTCATTGATCTGAACAAGACAGGAATCTGTTATAAAGCTCTCCATCTCCCACGAAGAATTATTTTCTGTTTATGATTGAGCTTTGATTCTCCCATATTTTGAAGGGTGTGTAAATTCAGCTCTGTAGGTTCACATGGGGTAAAACAGGTTGCCAGCACATACGAGTCATGGCTACATTCTAGGTTCCGACAACTTTGCCCCACTCGACCCCATGTACTTGACCTTACGTGCCTTCTGAATAATAGGAGAATTGGGCTAATTTGTTTACGATAAGAATGATGATAAATCTGTGCAGCACTTTTTATATTGGGAAAGTGCTTTCCAATCTTTTGTTAGTTACCAGTTATTACAGCTGTAAGGACAAATCAGCATGTGGATTCATTTTTAATTGGTGCTATTGGTATTTCCTATGTTATTGCTAATAAACAGATAATGGTATGTATGCAAGAAATGGTTGTCTTTTCTAAGAGCAGTGGAAGAAATGAGATAGATGGAATAAGTTTGCCACAGCATATAGCTTACCAAATCACACACTGCCTAATAGCACCAGATGCTATTCTGAGATCCATATTCAGAGCATAAAGCCATTGGAGTCAAATACGTTGTACTCCAGAGCCAGACTCAGTAGTCACATTTTCTGGAGGTAGGTTCTGAGAGATCTGAGGCCATGAGGTGATCGATCATTGCTCCAAAAGTAATAAAACCATAAGTGACCAGAACTTCAGCAAGCTAGTTTTCTTCCACCAGGGACTCTGTGTTGATCTTGGCCTAGTTACTACCCAGATACTCTGTCAGTCCTGTTGGGACAACTGGGAACCCAGATCATACTCCATCCCATGTTCTTCCAACAATACATCGCACTTTTTTAAAGGAACACATTCCTCTGTTTCTTCCACCCTCCTCTTTCTCCTTCTCCTCTTTCTTCAGGTCTTGAGCTGGTAGAATCAGAAGTCCTTTGCCAGCTGAGAAATCTTTGAGGGTTAAAATGAATGAGAAAAGGAGGAACGAGTTTCTCTCATTCAGGTAAAATAACACATCATTTGCTCCCCTCCCCAACCTCTGCAAGAAATAAAAAGTCAAATCAATGGAACCTTAACTCCTCCCTCCGGTTCAATATAATTGGCAAGTAGCTAGACATGTGACCATTGACCTAGCTGGCCAAATGACTTTCAAGAAACTCCAAACAGAGCAGGCTGAAGAGAAAGGAAAGAAGCAGCAGAAGATAACTCCAGAATGATTCATTAATTTGTTCAGTGCCCTCCTAGCCACATGGGATCAGATACCAAGTGAAGCTACAGTTCTCTTAGCTTCCAATCTCTTTGATACATATACATGATGTGTGGTCCATACATTGCAGGGAGATCATGCCTGTCACATTGTAGAGGGAATGGGGTTCCTCACTGACTATTCTTAAGAGTACTGGCTTCTGGGTTCTGAGCTGCTTAGTTCTCCAGGTGAGATCCTGGCCCTGTGGCAGATCATATTGTAATCCACGCTTTCTCTATTTTTAATCCAAATAATAGATAGAAAGACATGGAAAACAAAAACATTAAAACAAGCTTTCATTTGAAAATGGGTTTTTTCGGGTCAACTGAACACCAAATGGAATGGGGAAAATTACAGCTCCTCTAAAGACAACACTATCACAGCTTGAAGTTCCCCCCTGGAGATGGTCAGGAGTTGGAGTTATGCTAGATCATGTCATTTCTGTCTTTCCATGTGCTGACCAATAGAACACGTTGATCCCTTGACCCCTTCCAGCACATCTGCAGACCTTAGGCTCCTGGCTACTGAAAAGGCACACATCATTCAGCATGAAGGAGCCCTTTCACATCCTGCCCACCCCAGTCCCATCCTCTTGTACTTAACATAGACTTTGATACACAAGTCAACATCCATCCTTTCCTGTGACTGAGAAACACTCTTAACAGGTAATAACCAAATGTATGATAATCGGGGGATCACAACAGTTGGGTGAAATGATCTTTTGAAACCCATTTACTGGCTAATGCTGCTCCCTGGGAAAAAAAGCTGTTAATATGTGGTAAGAGCAAGTCCTGGCATTCTATAGGCACTTCTTGATTTATTTCATTAAATAAAATAAAATTTGCTGCGTGGAGTAGCTAAGGGGAGATGCTATTGAAATTCACAAAATCAGCTGAAGGGCAGATTCTGTGTGATTATTCAGTGAATTGGGGATCATCTAGCTACATAGCTGAAGCTTATATTTCAGGAAATATAAATTACTCCCTGCCATCATCCATCCAACAGCTTGTGTTGGAGCTCTGCAAAGTGACAAATGATAAACAGCAGACAGCTGATTGAGCAAGTAACACTGATTTGTACCAGGAAGATGTAAAGGGAGGGTGAATAAGCATTTACTGAGTGTCTACTACATGCCAGGCACTGTGCTAAGTGCTTTACAAATATTGTCTTGTTTGATCCTCACTCACAAAATCCATGGGAGGTAGGTACTATTGATATCCCAATTTCATAGTTGGGGAAATTGGTCCTGTTAGCAGTTACATGACTTGCCCAACGAGACACAGCTAGGAGGTATCTGAGGCTGGATTTGAACTCAGATTTGCTTGACTCCAGACCCAGTACCCACAGCATCATTTAGTCATTTCTAGTCCCCAAAAAGTATATCTGAGGTGGTAAAATTGAGCTTTTCTAAGTAAGCTATTTAGTCCCTGAGCATTTAACTGAGAGGGCAAAACTGAGCTCAAAGTCAACTTAGCTGAAACCTAGAAACAACTTGTGTCCTAGAGGGGAAACCCCTTAAATTTCTCTTCAATGGCACTTGTGAACTTTGTGTGAACACCTCTGCCTCTCTTCTTCATTGAATCTGGAGAGCTCTTCTTCTTTTAAATTATTTAGTTAATAAGATCCTAGGTTTAGAGCTGTAGGAAATGTTAGGCCATCTGATCCCATCCCTTCATTCTGAGGACACTGATGACCTGAGGGGTTAAGTGACCTGTCCAAAGACACTGTAGTAAGAGGTAGGGCCTCTGACTCCAAATTCAGTGCAATTTCCACATATTAACAGACAGTTCTAATTTTTATACTACTTTGAAAGTATGCTAGATGGAAACAAAGAGCCAGGGTGCTTTTAATTTTCTTTCCTAAAATCAATTTCTAGAGTCTACGTTCAGTCTTCCTGAAATTCTAGGTGAGGGTAGGAAAGTAGGCAGGCAGTTTTCAAGCTTTCATTAGTGCTTTCTGAAGCCTCTCTCATTTGAATATAATCTAGAGATTCTTTAGGAATTAATTCATTTTTTAGTTCATTTTTTTCAAAGGTTTTTTTCTCTGTGGTGCTCAGGAGGTAAAATCCACTTCTGAGGTACAGTGGGGGTAGTTTTTACTGTTTATCAAATAATGAGACTGTGACAGATGGGGATGTCATGCAGCCCTTCAGGTTTAAAAAATCTCAATCAGAAAACCATCTGGTTAGGGGCTTTAGCAAATTTACTAATTTCACTTCTCCGTCTTTGACTGAAGAAACTAAAAACTGAATCTCACCAAGACACAATTTTGTGAGGGGGTAAAGAAGGGAAGGAGGGAGGGAGAGAGAAATTTAATTAATATTGTCAGGCATATGTACTATAGAGAAAATTATTAGTTCAATAACAACCATACAAACCCAGTATAGTTTGAGAGCAGTCAAGTTCATTGGGTACTAGGGGAAATGCCCAGCTTAATAAATGCACGTAAATGTGTAAAACAAAAACCAAACAAGCCAAAAAACCTAATCCCATAATTCTGATTAACACAATGACCAACTACAGTTCCAGACAACTCAAAATAAAACATACTACCCACCTCCAGATAGAGAGATAATAAACCCACAGATTTAGGCATATATATTTTTGGACACGAGTAATGTGGGAATTTCTTTTGCTTGACTATATACATTTGTAATGGATTTTGTTTTTCTTTCTTGATGGGAGAAGGGGGAGATGGGAGGAAGAGAAGTTGGGGGTGAAAATAAAATAAAATTGAATTTTAAAAAATTAATCCTATAAAATGAAAAGCAAATCCTTTCAAATGATCCTAAAAAATAAGGCACACAATTTTTTTTTCTCAGAATAGGAGGAAAATGGTTTACATTTCTTAGACCTGTTGGGCTCAACTTCAGACAAGGTCATTTGGACTTCCTAATTTGTGGTAAATAGAAGAAAGGAGAGAAACGGGGCATGAAGCATTGCTATTTCCTTATCACACCCCAGAAAAGTAGCCTTTTATTCCCCCTCTTCCCACAAAGAAGTTGAGGAGCCTTTATCATACTCAATGCACCATCCTCCAGAAAAACAGAGAGGAAGGACAGATAGAACAGAGTCAAAAAGCCTCTATTCCTCTAATCAACCTGAGAGGGAAAAGAATAAGGTCAAAATCAATGACTCCAGAAGGCCTGTGTCTTGAAACCCCACCTATCACTCCTGGTCAAATGATATCATAGGCTCCTAGCCATGTTTTTTTTAATTGACCCAAACCTGCCCTATTTACTCAAGATGTCTCTTCTTTTTCATTCCAGATTTTGCCAGCTCTGAAGGGCAATGGAGATGATGTTCCTTTTCTCAAGAATGTGTCAACTTTTAATCAAAGGGGTCCAACAAACAGAAAGTCATCCCCTCCATTTATGACTTATCGGGGATCACTCTTTCTTGAGGCCTATTGTTCTGACTGGAGTGAAGA